AATATCAAGGGAGCAGCTTTGATTAAACATGCCTTTAAAAAGGGGGAGAGAATGCCAGGTTTTACAGAAAGCCTTACTGAGTTGCTGGCAAATGGCCACATGACACAATATTTTTAGTCTGTGGATATTATCTCCTTTTCTAAGCACAAAACTGCTATTCCCATTAACACAGCTCATAGGTTCAAGGAAAAAAGAAATTAGCTTGGTGCTAAAAGAAAAAAATATGTATTAAGATTTCAGGAAACCAGTCTCTTAATACAAAAAACCTTTAAAAAAAATTCTCATATCTCTTGTTCTAGAGTTCTCTACACCCTGCAGTGGGTTCTCTTTTTAATTTTTTTTCCTTTTCCATACAAGTTGTTGAGACTGTAGACCAAAATGGAGATTTCACTGCCAAGTCTAGTACTACCACACTCATTTAAAAAAGATGTTTGGCATGATTTTTGTTGTTATTGCTTTTTTTTTAAGATTATCTTTAAAATTTTTATTTTGCTTATATGGCATATACACTCACAGTAGGGAGACTGGGGATAGGGACACCCCCCAGGAGAGATGACCACACTCAATCCCTTCTCCTCCTTTCTCCCCTTAGGCATGAAGGCACATGCACCTGGTATATTTTTCAAGTCGCTGGGTGTGGGACTTGAACCTCACAATTGGGTCACATGTGGAAGTTCAACTACCAGGCCACTGGCTATTTTGAGATTCTCTAAGGTGGGAATGATGGTCTCATTTAGATGGGACATGAGCAAGAAGGAAAAGCCCAATATTTAGTAGTCAACAAAAAAATGTTTTAAAAGAATTACTGTGGGACCAGCAGTTAGCATAATGGCTATGTCGCTGGACTCCCATGTAGTCGACCACGGTTCAAGTCCCGGACCTGGTGGCTTGAAACTCACACCGGGTGCATGTGTATGCATGCCCAAGATCCCAAGAGAAGAATAGAGGAGATGGAATTGCGGTGTGGCTATCCCATCTGGGGGGATGGGGTGATTTCTCGCTTTCTGTCTCTCTGTCTCTCTGTCTCTCTCTGTCTGTCTGGCGAGTGCATGTGCCCTATAGCAAAAACCTCTCCAAAAAATAAATAATAATAATTACTGTATTTTACTTTATTTATTTACTTATTTATTTTAATTTGACCAGAGAGGGACAGAGCAAGAGAGAGACAGAGAGAGAGAGGGAAAGTGAGAAAGCAAGCTGCCAAGTCCAGGACTCAAACCACAGTCAGCTATGTGGCAGTCCAGCACTCTTAACCACCACACCACCTGTCAGCCCCAAGATTCAGAAAATATTTATCGAGCATATATTCTGTGCTGGTCCAATATATACCGGGGACATTACAGTGGATAAAATGAAGCCATTTTCCCTCATGGATCTTAACATTCTTCTGGGCCAGAAAATGTAGTTAACATTTATCAAGGGCGTACCAAGTGCCAGACACTGCTCCACTACTTTAGATGATAATGCCATAGGACATGCCCTATTATGATTATTACTCTTTGCACAACTCACATGTGTGGAAAATTGTGGAACCAGGATTCAAATCCAGACAGTCTAGCTCCAGAATCACCAAACATTACTCCATAGTTCATGACTCCTAAATTCCAGAGGGGTCCAAAAGTCCACTTTGTCTGTTTCTATTATAGCCTATATTTTTCCATCTTAAAGTATCTATCCCACAGGGGCGAGCAAGTGGTGTGGTGGTTAAGGGCGCTGGACTCCCACATGGCAGACCGTGGTTCTAGTCCTGGACCTGGCAGCTTGCTTTCTCTCTCTCTCTCTCTCGCTTTCTCTCTCTCTCTCGCTCTCTCTCTCTCTTGCTCTGTCCCTCTCTGGTCAAGTTAAAATAAATAAATAAGTAAAGTTAAATAAGATAATTCTTTTTTTTTTAAAAAAAAGTGTCTCTCCCACATCTTTGTCTGTTTTCCAGTTAACCATAAGTTTTTGGAGGGCCAGGGCTGTCCATCATCTCTATATCCCAGGGCCTTACACTACTTAAGACCAACAAGAACTGGGGACCTATCTCTTAGAACATTTCAAAACGCATGTGGAAAGACATCTTGATTCAGGTGCACAGAGTAAATGCCCCCCATAAGTCTCTCAAACCCTATCATTCTAACACCTCCAGGTTTGGCCTCTGATTTATGGATAGATGAGGCTTTTCTGTGGGAAAGGCTCTGCTCAAAGACATAAAACTATCAGGGCCGGTAGGTGGCATGGTGGTTAAGGCGCTGGACTCCCATATGGCCAGCCATTATTCAAGTCTTGGATCTTGCAGCTTGAAAATCACGCCAAGCATATGTATGTGCATGCCTAAATTCTGAAAAGAGAACAGAGAAGGGACTGTGGTATAGCCATACCCCCCAGTGGGTTGGGGGACATTCTCACTTTCCCTCTCTCTTACTTGCCCAATAGCAAAGTAAAAAAAAAAAAAAAAAAAAAAAGCACAGGGCTAGGCTGTATGCAGGCAGCTACAGGCCTAGGCCTAGGCAACTACTGCTTTGGCAGTGAACTGGAGAGCTGGTGGGGGACTTGGGCTTTAAACATCATGCCTTGGAGTGTTGTCAAGGTGCTTAATACTATTTGGGGGGCTGGTAGGATGTTCCTTGGCATTGTCCAAATATCCTCTCTTAAAAATAGACATAAAATGCCTAAATGACCGGCAAATGACTTAGTAAAATAAATTCCTACAGTAGAAGGCTGTGCTTCATTAACAAACCAGGCTATAAAATAAGATTTAAGAAGATGGGGAAATGCTCAAGATATAAATGAGTAAAATGAGGTATTGTAATTTGGATTAGAACATCATTTCAACTTTTGGAAGGTATATGTTCACACAAAAAAATCAAAATGATGACTGTTAACTGGTGACTTAGATTTAGTTGTTTATTCTTTTGTCTTTCTCAATTTTTGTATTAAAAAATGTTCATTACAACTGGAAAAACATTATTAAATAATAAACAGAAAGTAAACACTTTAAAAAATGGTTTAAAAACCTTATATTGGCCACAAAGGAGACCTCTAATGTATTTTCTGTGCACTCTCTCTTCCTTCACTGGGAGCTCAGCAGTGATCACAACACAACAAGTCGCTGGGTTGGAAACCTTGGCTGTTGTTTCCTTTGATGCTAGACTTCAGGGGCTGTGGCTCTGGTTACAGAATCTCTACTGATTATCTGATCCAGAGATCTAAGGCCCTGAGGACAGATCATCCCTCATCCTAGCAGGAAATAATGAAGCCTTCTAACCTTAAAGCCCTTTGGAACAAATGGATATAAACATGTAAGTCTCTAGGCTTACTGGAGCCCCTCGTATTTTACAGTGTGCATCTCACTGAATCCTCACAATAAAATGAAGGAGCAATTGGTGGCATCATCTTTATATAGGCAAGAAAGGGGCTTATCCCAGATCTTGGGTGAAGACTAAGACTTGAACTCAGCTCTTCTGATCCAGGGCCTTCCCCGGCCTCCTTGACTCCACCGTGGCAGCTAGGAAGCAACCTTACTAGCACCTTGGGTGGCACAGGCATGTTCTCTTGTGGGCTGGTTCTTAGTGGGCTGTACAAAATAAGCCTGTGAGTTCCCATCAGACCTGGTGGTTCTGGGCCAGGTTATCTTCAAGAGAGCTGAGATGAGCTAGGAACCAAGGGACAAAGACTCACAACTACCCAGAAATGTGGGAAGGACTTTACCAGTGGCTAAAACCTGGGATAAGATTTGAAAATAGCTCTTCTACATCCATGAATAAATTCCAACCTGACCCTAGCTCTGCTACTTTTCATTTTCCCCCTCTTACTTGTCTCTTCCCCTTGTTCCTTCCATATAAATAAAATGCAATAAATAATTCTTAAAAATAAAGTGGGGGTTAAAGCCCAGACATAGAGCCAAAGCTAGAAGTTCTCTAGAAGCAGAAGTGAGAACATAGTCGCAGGGGTAGGAGATCGGACTCAGAAGCCAAACCTTTCTGGACAAGGATTATGCTTTCTCTAATTAAAACAGGATCTAGTGACCAGCTTTTCAGGGTGTGAGAAGGGCCAGCTACTCAGACCAATAGATCCAGAACCTTCTTTTTCTTTTATTTATTTATTTTTTTGAGAGGTTTTCGCTATAGGGCGCGTGCGCTCACCAGACAGACAGAGAGAGACATAGAGACTGAAAGCGAGAAATCACCCCCCCAAGGGGGATGGTCACGCCGCAATCCCTTCTCCTCCATTCTCCCTTCTCCATTCTCCTCTCGGGATCTTGGGCACGCACACGCACGCGCCCGGTGTGAGTTTTAAGCCACCGGGTCTGGGACACGAACCACGGTTGACTACGTGGGAGTCCAGCAACATAGCCATTACGCTAACTGCTGGTTGATTTAAGGGTCATTCAGGGGCCGGCAGGTGGAGTAGTGGTTAAGTTGCTGGATTCCCACATAGCTAACCACAGTTTGAGTTCCGGACCTGGTGGCTTGCTTCCTCACTCTCCCTTTCTCTCTCTCTGCTCAGAGTTAAAAATAATAACAACAAATAAAATAATTAATTCTTAAAAAAAATAAAAGAGCCATTCAGTTTGAGAACTGCTCCTGTGACCCTCATCCTAATGCATCAAGAATATTCCATGGGGCCCAGTGATAGTGCATACTGCCAAGACTCTGCTCTGTAGGCTGGGAACACAATGAGAAGCCTGGGTTTGATTCCTGGTCTAACCTAAAGGCTGGGCATGATAGCATGCACCTGTAATCCCAGTGACTTGGGGCAGGAGGCAGTCAGCTAGGCGGCATAGTGAGACTCCGTCTAAAAGAGAGCTGGGCATGGGAGCGCGTCTGCAGGCGTAACCGGAAGGTTGAGGTCGGAGCAAACCTGGTAAGACCCAGTCTTAAATAATAATGATAATAATAATACTAAGGAAACGGTCCATGGGCAAGGAATATAGCATGGGAACTGAACAAACACACCCTCAGGGGAGGGGGAGTGTACAGGCCTGCTGACTCCATCACACCATTCCTCTTGTTTTGCAGTATTTCCTGATTTCTCCCCCAAGCAGCTTCACAATGTCTCCTAACGGTACGCTCTTCTCCACAACCGAACTGGACTTTGAAGCAGGACCCACCAGGTAGCCTGACCAGTGACCTTGTTTGAAGTTCCGCTTACCTGAGTTAAAGACAAGCACCATGGTGCAATCTGAGGGGGCAGAGACCGAGGGTCTGCTGCCTGGCTGTACGAGCAGGGGCAGCGAACCCTGGAGAGGAGGATGAGGGCGGTGACTCAGAGGGCCTCTTTCCCACCCCAAAGCTGCCTCTCGGGACAGCCAGAACACAGATGTGGCCAGGGTGCGGACTGTCAGCAGCCCTGTCCAGCGGCCCATCCCAGCTCCGGCACATGGGCGCGCACGCCGCCAGGTGGGCGCGCACGCCCGAAGGGAGGCCAGGCGCGAGGACAACGCGCAGGCCTCAGGGTGACGCTGCGCCGCTCGGGGCTCTGGTTTCCCTGTGAGCAAGCAGAGGCGGTGAGGCACCGGGAGGTGGAGTGCACGTAGCTGGCAGCAGCAGGCTGGCCAGCGTGGTGGCCTTGATTTTAGCAGCAGGGTGCGCAGTGGGGAGGGGCGTGGAGATGGGGAGAGGGGGCACGTGATACCTCCCCCTCCCTGCCCCCAGCCCGAGCTACCTATACCGTTTGAGGTGGGGCCAGCACAGCTTGATTCTCGCTCTTGGGATGCTCCCCTGACAGTTTCCACCTCACCATGGAAGTGAGGGACAGCGGGGGTCTCCAAGCCTCCACGGTGCTCCAAGTGAACGTTGTGAACCTCAACGACGAGACCCCGCGTTTTACCAGGTAGGCCTGAGCACAGGCAGCGCCTCCGCAGCAGAGCCTCCCCCGATGCTTAAAGGATGATCTGGGGAGAGACGGGAGGGAGGAGATCCGCAGTGTCCTTTGTCTGGGCCTCTGGACTTGGGTGTTCCACCTCTGCACCCCACCTGCCCTTCAAAGGCATCGTAGACCTACATAGTGGAAGCCCCCTCCCTATTCGATGCCCTGGTGCAGCTTGCCACTGCCATTGTGCATGTGTAGATATTAATATAAGGCAGGCACTTTTCAATTGTGATTTTTTAAAGAATTATTTAAGTTACTATTATTTTTTAATTTGCTAGAGAGCACATGCACTCACTAGAGAGAGACAAAGAGAGAGAGAAAATGAAAAAAACAAGCGTCCTGTCT